GGACTCCAATCATCGCTTGCGTTTGTCGAGGAAAAAATTTGGCCCCCATTGGGTTCCGTACTACTTAACGCATGCCAGTAATCAGTTTTGATACATTTTATTGTGTTTGCCCGACCACACATAGCAGCAATTATCAGACAATTTGCATGCAATTCTTCCCAACGTTCGGTGTGTACCGATTCCTTTTCTCTTGCAACGTTATTATAACCAATAGGAAATTCTAAGGCCTACCTTTTCCCCTAACTGAAGTGGATGGAGGAGCCAAGTTATGGGTTGTCTGGTGTGTTGATTGGCAGCTACTAACAGATCCGTCCCTTCCCTATCGGATATATACAATTTGTCAACTCCATTTAGCTGCTTCCTTAAATTCAATTGTCTGTGTCCTATAAAACAATGTCCATCATTTGGAAAGGTTCCTGATAATGCGTCCTTTAAAGAGCTGCAACCAACAACGTAACGGTTCTTCGGCGTGAAAGAAACCAGAACTTGGATCTGCGAAAATTCCCGTTTTACGATTAAAAGGTCGTATTGTCAAAAATCGTTTTTGGTCATATATCTTCAGGCCGATACAATGACATGGAGAATGAAGTGGTCAGTCATGTGCAGTGTCTATATTGACCTCGGAGGAGGGGTATGATTAGACATCTCGGCGCTCACTCCTCCCGTGCATGATGACCTCAGCGTGTTGAGGACGTTGGGTGCGGCGCGCTGGGAAGAGGGGGATACTTTCATGGTCGGTGGTTTGAAGTCTAAGTCAGACGCACGGCGTGGGACTCCCGCGTGTAGTCGGTCAAGAAAGGCAAACTGCTTGTATCAGCGTCTTTTGACAACAGAGGTCGCTAAACGGATTGCCACTGCTTCCACTGTGGCTAGCACCTGTTTGCGTCGGCCTGTAGAGTACAGCGTCAGTGCCTGGTATATGACCTGGAAGGCCTCTCTCGCGTCAAGTTGGCGGTTCGTATCGATTTAGTGTGCGAGGATTGAACATCCCGCTTATGCTGTACAATGACTTTTCGTGGTAACTTCTTTTCTTTGAAGCTCAATTCCGCCTTACCGGAATCCAAAAAAATGCATTTTCTTATAATCAGAATGGGCAGTCTGTGATCTTCCACAAAATAAGAACTACTTTAGGCTCTTGTATTCGGGTATGTCTTGCTTACTCTCAGAAGGAATGCAGAGACAAAAAAATATTTACTCTTGCATTCTGTCCAAGTCCATCTGGCTCACCGAGTTTGCTTAATATGTCATAGGACGTCGTATTC